TTCTATTGAAATGGAAGTTGCTGTCTCTCATTTCCTCCAGTGGTTTGTCACACAAAAGACCTTGAAACCTGATCACAAGGTGGTCAGGACAAGCAGAGCCCTCCCTGTGCTACCATGGAAGAGTGTGCTCCTCATGGAGCAGGGTGGGAGTGGCAGGGGAGCACCCCCAAGTGTATGAAGTGCCTCGGTCCAAAGGGTAGTTCTTCCTCTTCTTCCAGTGAGCTGACCTATGGCCTGTTCAGAAAACCCCTCAGGGTCTCAGAAAGCCTGGTATGTGCAAAGCACGGCGCTGGTTCCGTCACCAGCACCCAGTGCTGAGGAGGCCTTCTGCGTCTTCTTCTCTGTATTCACCTGTCACTATCCTTACTCTCAGTGGAATTAAAATCACAAGTTCCAGTTCTTGATGGATCTTTCTAAAGGAAAAGTGTAGTTACTTCAGTGTTCTCGAGGGTGTGATCGATCCCCTGGGAAATAAATGTCTTCCAGTGGGAACAGTGGCCAGAGGAGAACGCTATCCCTGTGAGTGGGAGTCTATCACTGAACTTCACCTAGAGTGAAGCTGCTAGCCAGCCCGGCCCTTCCTCCATCCCAACACACATACACAGTCACACCCTGCTCTTACCATGGATGCTGAGGATCTGCACTAGGGTCCCCTGGCTTGTGCTTTATCCACGGAACCATCATCCCAGTCTTCAGTAGTATAGAGCTTCAACAACTGGGTTTGTTCCATTTGTGTCCTGGTTAACTGTTTTAATCACACACACACACACACACACACACACACACACACACACACACACACACACACACACACCGTGTACCAGACCTCATTATGCACCCGTAAGTAACCTTCCCCCATAGCCAGTGGCTGAGGCAGTTAGCAAGGACTCTCTTAGTGTACTCTCTTCCTCCATAGAGCAGGCGGAGTTGTGTTTTGAGCTAAGTGGCATCACACAAAACCAGGGAGAGAGGATCAGAAAGCAGAGGCTTCTTTCCACGTCAGGGGCTTGGAGTGTAAGCACATTCAGCACAGAGAAGGGACCCAAGATGCAGTCACTGCTGGTTTCCAGATTGCAGGTGCCCTAGGAGGCCAGGGGCTCTCGACAGCCAGGCTTGAGATCATCCACCTATAGGGCAAAGGCTTTCCCCACTGCATGCTGAATGGCCCCTCATCATATGGAGCAAGTCGCATTCTAATAACTGCTTGTAGTGTGTACACTTAAGTCTGTTCACATACATTTCCTTCTCCCAAAAGAGCTGAGGCAGAGATGGAGGCCAGGGAGATAACTTGGAGGCTGGTCACTGGCATCACATGAGAACATTGCTGCAGACAGTTTTTGTGGTGTTCTTTCCTCTTGCCTCATTTGGACACTGTCCCAGCTGACAGAATAGTGAACTTAGGCATTTTTACTCTGCCTGCAGTAAAAATAAGGTCCTTATGACATGGGTAAGTCCTGACTGTGGACCAAGTAACCCCGAAGATAAAGCCAGACCTTTGTTGCTCCTCTGATAACTGGGGGCGCTATAGCGAGCACTCCAAAGACCACAGACAGCCAAGAGCACTTGACTCCTGCTCGGCAGCCCACACAAGGAGTGGAGGGGAGAACTCCTGCTTGCACAGCTGTGTGTTTCTGCTGCAGGGGAGAGGCAGCAGCAGCTGGGCTGATCTGGGACCAAGACAGCCTAGCACGTCAGCACGGTCCAGGAGGCCACTGACGTCAGCTGCAAAGGGTAATTGCTTTCTCCTGGCTGACTAACACAAGGAAAGTTACCGTGACTGAGGCATAGAGGAGGCCGGAGCTAGGGAGGGCCTTCAGGCAGCCAGGTGATGGCACATTCTCTTTCTAGCTGGCCAGTTTGGAGAATCTGGCAGATTGGAGAAATAGGCAATTCTTAACTTCAGGAAAGAAGATGCAGGGGGAAGAGGTTGGAGTTTGGACCAGCCAGAGGCCAGGCTCTCCACAGCACTTGAAGCCTCCCAGAATCCCAGGAACTGTCTGGGGCTGTTGTCTGTTCCTGAAAACAAAGCTAAGCTGGCCAGAGAGGATCCAATGCCTTTGCCAACCTAGTCTCAAGGACCCAGTTCTATGTGAAGGAGGAGCAGGAGGCTCACTTGGGGTCATTGCTGAGAAATGCTCCCATGAGTTCCAGGAAAGCCCATGTCATAACCACCCACCTGTGAACTCGAGGCTCTCTCCATCACTCAACCTGGTTAATCCAGGCTTATCTAGGCCTGTGATTTATAAAAACACTTCTCTCAGCTGTAGATCTTAAAATGAGGCCATTGACAGGGAGCATACAAATGAGCAGAATTATTTATGTCCAGGGCTTGACCTAAGTAGATCTGGGGATCATTTGGGACACCCCCAAGTAGAAGGTAAGGAGCCAAGCCTCAGGGATGACTCACCCACTGTGGGAGCTGCATGATGGCTTACAGGTTCAGTAGACCTGTGTCTCCACTTCCGGATGCTTGAGACCCTTACAGCATAAATAAATCCATGGGAAATGGTGCCTCTCAGCCAGCAAGGTGGGGATCTAGAAGGTTCCAAAGGGCCGCCCCTCCCACCTTCCGTGTGTAGTCTCCCACCGCCTGGCTCACAGTGCCGAGCCAGCTCTCATTTTCTACAGTGCGTCCTGCAGGAGCGCATTTCTCTGTGTGTACACAACATGAAAATAACGAGCGTGTAATGGGTCCCCAGACGTTGACTACATCCTGATTATGTGCTAGTCACTGTAATAACCCCAGTGACAAAAGCCGTCAGCCTAAAGAGCTGACACTCCAGGAGGAAGGCAGGGACACAGTGGAATAGAGCATGCAACACTGAAACAATGTCTCTGGTTAAAGTGTCCTGCTGGCCAGGAGGGAGAGGTGTGAACTGTAACTGGGGCTAGCCTCTGGCTAGAGGAGCGAAACCCAGGTCTCCAGTGCCTGAGCTGGGACCGGAGGGCAAGTGGGCAAGGGCTGCTTAGGGCTGAGCATGGCAGATCAATGAGGTCAGCATGGTCAGCCAGTTCTGCCCTTTCCTAACTCTCACAAGGTCCTTTTAGGCAGGAACCAAAGCCAAGGGGTTGGAGTGTGAAAGAATTTGTATTCTATTTCAGATGGGAACTCAAGCTTTAGGACCTGCCCTTAGTGAGCCTAGGCTCTGAATCCAGATTTTTTTATGGTTGCCAGTGGGATTATCTTCCTGTCCTCACACACTCGTGTGGGTCACAAGGAAGAGCGCTGCACTGTGACTTCTGTATGAGTCGTACCTGCTGGCTCTCACCAAGTCACTGCTACCTACAGAAAGGCCTTTTGTCTCCTGAGAGTGAGTCAGGCACAGAATCTGCTGTTCGTTGCTGGGGAACGGGGTTCTAGAAGGAGCTGGACACAGGCGACTGTCTGTACCTGGAACACATTGGGTTGTCCTGGTCCTGGTTTCTCAGCTGTCCCCTCTCCAGCCCTACTCTGCCTTATTTTGCTGAATCCTTCAGACGAATTTGAACTCTGAAACTGTTTAAAGTGTGTATTAAGTAGCTGTACCCCTTGCGGTTCTGTAATGAGGTGCGACATACTGCAGTAAAGAGAGGTGTGGAGCGGGCAGCTGTGGTAGCAAGTGTGTATCCCCATGTAACAACTGCCGGGGTGAGTGACAACATTCTCCACCATGGAGGTCCCGAACCCTTGTCATCTTTCAAATGTAACCATCATCTCACTAAATTTTGGAGTCTTTCCCATGTCTGAATTTTGTGTAAATGGAATGTTTCATTATCTGGTTCCATCCACATGGTTCTGGGAAATTTCTCCATACAGATACAGATAACATAGTTGCTTTTTTCACCTCTGTGTTATATATATCCCTTTGTGAGTATACTCACCTACTGCTGATAGATATTTGGGTTCTCTCTTAGGGTGTTAAAATGTTATATCATTTGCTGGGCATAGCATATCTGTTCACTGAGGTCATGGAGTATGACCTGCTGGGTCATGGAGTATACCTACAGATCTAATAACACGACAAGCAGAAGTGTGCAGACAGAGTGTGATCCCCTGGTTAGAGTTAGTCCTAGTGAACTGCCGTCCATCCGTGCAGTTCTGTACCCCATCATACAGGCCTCCAGCTGTTTCTAACACTTAAAACATTCTGAAGTGGGTAGAAACATGATGTGGGAGCTCTGTTCCTTGTTGATTTAAGATTGGAGTATGGGGCTGGAGAGATGGCTCAGTGGGTAAGAGCACTTGCTGCTCTTCCAGAGGGCCGGGGTTCAGTTCCCAGCACCCACCTGAAAGATTGGAGTATTTACAACTGATGTCTGTCTGAGGCGTTCCTGTGGGGCTGAGCCCTCACCCCGAGCCATCTACTGTAACTCTCAGTAGCTGTCAGTAACTGAGTTAAGTTGGGGACACAAGATGACATCCACAGAGAACTGGAGAGTTGTTTGGTGAGGAAAACCCTTCTTTCTCTTTAGAAACCATGTGTCCCTGTGAGCCAGGGCCAGTCCATCAAACCCACGTCTCTGGCGACAGCTTTTTCCTGTGACCCCTTGTGTGCTCCAGCACCTCGGACAGGGGCCATGTTTAGCTGTGCATGCTTTTGCTTCCCAAGTTGTGTGGAGATCCCATTTTTCCATCTGCCTTCTCGTTCACCTCCAAGGAAACCATTTGGAATAAAGGCCTCCCATATGTGAACTCTCCTCCTGCATGCCCTCCTGCAGTGCTAAACAACAGTGATACACAGAGACCCTGAAACATGCTTTAGGCACATCTCTTGTGGCCTACATAACTGTACATGCCATATACCCTGGTCCTGTGTTAGCAGTTGGGAAGGGACATTTGTCCCACACAGCAGAGTCCGTGTGTCCGTAGAGCTAGACGCCAGCAGAATAGAAATGGGACAGTTTGGACAGCAGAGCAGTCTTCATGAGAGACAAGGCGTGAGGCTGAGGGCCCATGCTGCCTCCTGAGGGCTACAAAACTTAGACTGACCAGAGCTCTGTTGACTTTCTCTCTCTTGCAGGGGTCGGCACCAGGAATTACTACCGAAAGATTGGCTACAGATTACAAGGCCCCTACATGGTCAAGATGCTAAAATAATGACCACTCCAGTCTACCTTTGTGCAGCATCCTCCCTGGCAGAAGACCAAAAGTAGGGTCTCTTGAGTCCCCAGTAGAGGCCAAGCAAGTAGACGACCTGCATGTCCCTTCTCCCCACCCCTCCACCCCCGTGAAGTACTTTGTCCTCCCTCCATGGCTGCTAGCTCCCCGCTCTAGCCTCCGCCGACAGGCCGGAGCCACCCTCTTTGTGTGCCCCTGGAGTCACTTGTGGTTTGGAGGCTTAAGTGATTTTCTCAGTTTCTAAATTCTGCATGACGGCTGCAGGTGACCCATTTGGGCTCAGCACTGTGACAAAAGCAAATCAACTCCTTTAGCCATCGTCACTTGTCATTGTCATCTGAGGGGCGGCCTTGGGAGAAGGTTATTTATATACTCCAAAGAGGAAAGCCGGACTGCAGCACAGCAAAGCTGTCCACGTGACTCTGGCCTTTACCTCCGTGCACGTCCACCCTGGAATTGAGAAAAGGAGATTTGTACTGGAAGTCATTTGGTGGCTGTGCCCATGTCTTGAAATGTGCTGTGTTAGGGGAAGAAGGGCTGAGGTTGCGGGGTGTATTGATAAGCTTGGTGCCAGCCATCGCCAGCCATCATGTCGGGCCTGCCCACCTGGGCTATCCCAGAAGCCTTTGTCACACCTGCAGGGCGGTGTGAGCAGCTTCCTCCAGTGTGCTGGGCTCACTCTGCACCAGCCAGTTCTTCTGTCCTGAGCAGACAGGGTCCAGTGTGCATAGACAGAGCCCATGGCCCTGATCAAGACTAGTCCGTCCTCAGAAGTATCTCTGCATGCTAGTTCTGTAAGGTGGGTGTTGACGGTGCTGCGTGGAGACAGTGGAGATTGGCTAGTGTGTAGAAGCAGGCCTGACTGACCTGCACAGAGCAAGTGGGCTTCCCAAGGCTCCTTCACCCAGCTAGGCCACCGAGGAGACCAGGCTCTGAGAGCCTGCCTCACCTGGGCATCTGCCATTTCCAACAGTGTGTAGTGAAAGTTGTTCTCTAAAAGGTCTGAAAAATAAAGTCTTTAGCATAAAGAGGAGTCGTGTGGAGCTTTTTCCCCTCACCCTGTAAATGTGATGGCATTTGTCAGAAATTTACAGGTCTCACTCCCCGGCCTGTGACACCGTGTGTGTCCCCCAGGTGCCGTTCGCCATTTCATTACGCCGCTGAAAGCAAGTGGCACGGCCTTTCTCAGGGGCATACTGCGGCACTCCAGCCACTTTCTGAGATTGTAGTTTGGGGAATTTAGCTATTTCTTAGTTATACATTTCCCCCATAAAATGTAAAAGTATTAAACTAATAAAGTGCCCACCCCAGCTTTCACACTCGCGTTATGGAGATGGTGCGTGCTGAGCCAGCCGAGGGCTAGGGCTCCCTCCCTCCCCGCGGCGTGCCGAGGCCGTGTGTCCGTCTCCGCTTGCTCACCTCTCATTCACCCCGATGAATCAGAACACACAGGGAAGCCACCAGAAGACAAGCATATACAGTGTTGGTTTTTAAAGGTGGCCACTTAGAGCAAGAATTTAAAACAAGCCTGCCGAGGGTCCTCCAGCACCCTCCCCTTCCCTTGTGAACCTCAGTGCTTGGCCCAGACCCTCAGCCCCACAGTCCAAGGTGCCCTTCCCAGCTCACCCTCAGCCCACTTTGGCATGAGTCCCTGGAGCTGCACAAGCCCACAGAAGGTGCAAAGCTTCACCAGGTGTCCCAGCTCCTGGCCTGGCATCTCTTGTGACCACCGAAGTGCCTGGCCTGTGTTGCACTTGGTGTAGCTGACACCTTGACTGGTCCAGCCTTTCTGAGACCTCTGTTGTTCAAGCGAGGTCACCTTGGGAGGATGATGAGCTGCCATGCTCCTGCTGCCGTGGCTCAGAGACCTGCCAAGTCTGTGACTTGTTTCTGAGCTGCACTGAACACGTTGGCCATGGCCTCAGTGTACTCAGGTGGCTCTGCTGGGTTCAGCTTTGGGCTACATCAAGCCATGGGCTAGGGAGATGGCTCGGGGGTATCTTAGGGTTTCTGTTGCTGTGAAGAGACGCCACAACCAAGGCAACTCTTCTAAAGGGAAACATTTCCATTGTGGGGGTGGCTCACTTACAGTTTCAGAGATTCAATCCATTATCATCATGGTGGGGAGCAGGGCAGCATGCAGGCAGACATGGTGCTGGAGAAGGAGCTGAGAGTCCTGCATCTTGCAGGCAACAGGAAGTTGACTGACTCACGGGGTGGTATCCTGAGCATAGAAAACTTCAAAGCCCACCCCCACAGGGACACACTTCCTCCAACAAAGCCATACTGACTCCAAAAAATCCATAATCTCATAGTGCCACTCCCTATGAGATTATGGGGGCCAGTTACATTCAAACTATCACAGAGGGACACTTGTGCAAATCTGACATCTGAGCTGGCTAAAAGTCTCATGCGGCGGCAGCCTGCGTCTAATCCCAGCACTCCCACTGTGTAGGTTAGCTCAGGTTAGCCACTCTGGCGTACACACAACAGCCAAAACAACCAAGGAGACCCTGCCTCACCAAGCCAGAAGATGAGAAACAACTCCAAATTGTTCTCTGACCTCCATACATGCACGCACACACTGTGCACACATGCATACTTTTTTTTAAAAGTCGGGCTGTGCCAAAAACATACTGAAATTTATCTGAAGAGGATACATTGTCACAGAGCCTGGTACAGCCCAATGTTTTTAAATTTGGGGAAAAGTCCCCTTTCTGTTTTCCACCCTGACAGAACAAAGTGTACTAAAAAGACATTTTCATCAGAGGTGTTCAGGGTGTTTGAGGTTATCACCCGATTAGAAACACAGTTGTGTGACTCCCAGAGATAGCCTGAGTTGATTGACGGGAGGAGCTGGACAGGTCTGGAAATGGCTGAGAGCTGCAGAACTCAGGCGGGGCCCTCTACTTTCTGAGCTGCGGTTATGTGTGTAAAATGAACTAAGCGGCCATAAGAGTCAGATGAGGTCCTGTCTGTCACAGAAGCCAGACATCATGAGGACAGTCACTGCACCGATGAAGTGCCTTCCCCACCATGAGTGCCTTGGGCTGGAAACCACCATGGGAGTAACTTGGCTCCCTCAAGTGCTTGAGGTTCAGATGAGCCCTTGTTGGCCAGCCTCTCAGAACCACACCTGTTTGACAAGACACCAGGAGCACCAGCTGGCGTCCTGATGTCTAGGAAGGCACACTCAGACCCATGTGTCCAGCAAGAGAATTTCTCATCTGACACTGGGCTCCGACGTTTGGCTGGAAGGGCTCTGAAATTCTCCAAGTGTCACAAAGATAATATCTACATGTACATCCAGCATCCAGGCCACCACCTCTGTCATCCAGAAGTTCTGAGGACTGCCTAGGAAGTTGCCGGGTGTCTGCTGTGGGGCTGATAGGGGTGTCACACTGAGGAGTCCCTGAGGAGTTTGACAGCCTTTTGTGGTTGGAGCATACATATGTCTATGTAGTAGATGTGGACTGGCCACCTTGGTTGTGGAGAAAAGATTGGTGGTTGTGCATGAATTGGCTTGTAAGCCAAAATAGAAAGAAACCAACTTTTACTGAGTATACTGCATGGAACGGAGGGCTGGGTAATAACAAGGGTACTGTGTGCAGTGTGAGATACTGGGTCTCCATTTTGAAGTAGTGTTAGGCTTGTTCAGTTGTAGGGAGTTCCTTTCTGGCATGCGATCCCCACCATGTGAATGAGGGCAGTCCACTGGGCATGTAATTTCCCATTCGGCAATCTCCACCCTACCAAGGTCCTGGTTGTCCCCTGGTTCCAGCATTCCCAGTCAGCAGTTCAGTTGGAGTTTGGTTGTCTGTCTGGAAAATCTGAACTAAGCTTGTGAAAATTCCCTGCCGGGACCCACCCCACTCTCCTGCACGTTTTATAACGGCCTTGCGCCACAGTAGAGTTCTGCACACCACCAGTGTGCATGTGTGCCCTTCCACAGAGACACTGGTTGGAAACAGGGTCCCCAGTACAGCAGTGTTGAGAGATGGAGCCTGTGAGCAGTGACTCGCTCGTGCGGGCTGTCTTTCTGACGGATCAATGTTCTGTCACAGAAGTGGGTTAGTTATCACACAAAAGGTTCCTGGTTAAACAGGTTAGCTGGATCTCTCACACAGGTACTTCCTGCAAGAAGACCCCTCAGGCCTTGGACATACCAGCCAACAGAACCATAAGAAAAATCTCTAGGCATGGACGTTTGACTCAGTGCTAGAGCACATATGTGATGCCCTGGGTTTGATCCCCAACACCACCAAAAAGAAACACACAGATCCGTGCTTCTCAACCTTCCTAACGCTGCAACCATTTACTACAGTTCCTCATGTGGTGGTGACCCCCCAACCGTAAAATTATTTCCTTTGCTACTTCATAACTAATTTTGCTACTGTTCTGAATCGTAATGTAAATATGCTTTCTGATGGTCTTGGGTGACCCCTGTAGAAAGGTCATTTGACCCCCAACAGGGTTGTTTGTCCCCCATAGATTGAGAACCACTGACCTATGGTCATAAATTGCCCAGCCTCTGGTCTTCTGTTACAGAACACAGAACCAACTGGGACAGGGTGCCGCGATCTACTTAAGCCGGCCTTGTGCACCTGAAATCCTTTGAATTTTCATTAATGCCTAGAATTGGACATTAAACATGGGGCTGTACAGTTCCCCCCAGTGGCACGCTTTCCTGCCCATGAGCCACCCCTCTGAAGGCTATGGGGGAGACCTGTCTAGAGTTTGGCCTTTTTCGTTCCGAGGTAGCACATTCGGTTGTGAACAATCTCATCATACGAAATGTCAAGCCGCATGTTCGCTGGAGGCGCTGGAGCGCGAAGATCCGTTATTGAGGTCGGAGGTGACCGTACCTTGTCTCTCCCACCCTGATGTAAGGTGCCACGTGGA